TGAGAGGACTCTCAAAGGAGTGGAACAATATAAAAACCTCAATTCAAGAAACTCAAAGAATCATGCCATTATCAATTGATGAACTCATTAGGACTCTTCAATCATACAAAGCCGAATGTATAAATGAGAAGATCTCAAAGGTAAGAAGTTAATTGCTTTAAATCTAGCATTGATTATGATGAGACAGATTCTGAAGATGATGAAGAGAATGATGAGGAACTTGCCCGAATGGTAAAGAAGTTCATAAACATGGCCAAAAAGGGAAGAAACTTCAAAGGGAAAAAGCCACTCAAATAAGTTGAGCAAAAGAAGTCATTCAACGATAAAGAAGAAGGCAAGTTTGAAAAATTCAAGAAGGCTCTAAAGGCAGAAACATAGAGAGACACTGAGTGGAAAGAAAGCGATGAGGAATATGTCAACATTTGCTTAATAGCAAATTCAGACTCATACTCAGATTTAGACTCGAGTTCAGAGATAGAGAAAGAAATTGAGGTAAGTTATCCTGAAATTCTTATTGAAGTTACGAATTATATTGATGAATTATGTTTAGATTACAAATCTACTCTCAAAGGAATGTCTAAATTGAAGAAGGAAAATTCAAGGTTAAGGCAACAAGATTCTTCCAAAAATGATACGATTGATTTTCTGCAAAAGGAATTTTCTCAAATTAAAGTAAGTTGAGACTTGCTTACAAAAGAAAATGATTCTCTTAAAAAAGAGATTTCAATTATTACCAAGAAATTTTCTCTCGGTTCAAAAGCTTTAGAATATATACTTTCCATACAAAGTCCATATTTTAATAAATCTGGACTTGGTTTTGAAAAGAAAAGTTTGATCCAAAATGATTTTCCAAATGTCAAAGAAAGATTGAGGCGTAGACCTTCAAATTTTGCTTACAAAAATCATTTTAGAAAACATTTCATAAAACCTGTTGGCTGAGACTCCTTCAAATGCTCAAACCTTGGGAACCCAAATCATCTTAAGAATGATTACCCAAAAGTTTGGAGATCAACTCGAAAAGTGATTTTGACAATGGATGAATTATCTAACATGAAAGGACCCAAATTCATTTGGGCACCAAAGAAAAGATAAGTTACTTTTCTTGCAAGGAATAAAGGAAAAGAGAAAGAAAATTTGGTAAGTAAAGGCATGTTTTTAAATTCTCACTTTGCTTTGAGTACATTCTTGAATATCTATATATTTTCATCATTCTTGATATTTATCTCCATATTGTGCTTGATATGACGTGATCTATAATTGGTTATAGTTGAAATATCTTTTAAGAAAGAATGGCGTGATGCATTTTCCGTGATTTGTGAAATGCGATCAATTATATACATGTGATTGATTGATATCTTGCTTAGATATAATTTGGTTGATTGGATAGATACTCAAGGATATTATTCTCTATGATCTTATCATGTTTTGCTAAGTGAAAATTTCTTTTACGAGATACTATTGTGCATAATGTTCTTTCCTTAAATGGTATGTTAATATGAGTTAGGAAAGAATATTTGGTTATGAATCGGGACAATCAGTTCTCTTGGTTAACTAATGTGTTAGTACAAGTCTTACTGCTAGCTCAGTGATGAACCTAGAGATGTCACACATCATAATCAATTCATAATGATGTTTGAACGGGAGAGACATATTGCAAATGTGTTTGAAAGTTTCGGCAATCAAATTGAGTCGGGCAAGATTAAGGTTCTTAAACGGTTTCACCAAATTAAGGTTTAAAAAAAGGGTTCGGAATTAATGGCCAATACATTTGAAAAGTAAATAAAAAAATTGCAGCGGAAGCAAAAATCCATTTCGTGTATCTCCAAAACATTGTTCGTGCATTTTAAGAAGAAGTATGTTGAAAGGAAGAAGAGGGCTCTTCGCATTTTCCTTATACCATACCCAAAGAAAACTTGGTTATGATGTTCTTGAATTGTGGACCACAAACGTCCGATCTCATCGTAGCGTGTCTAAGTAATCTAGTTCTGATGTTCTTTAGTTCCAGCCTCACAAATGACAGATCTCTAGTTCAGACATATCATGAATCACGCGTCAAACACTAGAGAGAAATTTAAGTGTGTTCACCACACCAATTATGCTAGCAATTGTTCTTGTGTGTGAATAAAAATGATTGATCTTCTATCTTCTCATATCATTAGTCTCAAATCCAATTTATTTAAATCAATTCGGCCATTAACTCTAAAAGCGTTTCAGAGCATTAATTCGGCCGCTGAGTCTGAACCCGTTTCAAGGTCTGAATTTGGATGTTGATTTTGAAACCGCTTCAGAGCATTATTTTAGGCATTAACTTCGTTATCGTCCAGAGCATTAATCTGGCCATTAACTCCGTAACCGTTACAAAGCATTAATTCGATCGTTAAGTTTGAAACCGTTTCGGAACATTAATTTGGCCGTTGAATCTAAAACCTTTTTAGATCATTAAACTAGCCATTGATTCTGAAACCGTTTTAGATCATTAAATTGACCATTGATTTTGAAACTGTTTTCGATTATATATCTACACATTAATTCAGAAACCATTATAGATTATTAATTTGGTCATTGATTCTGAAACCATTTCAGACTATTAATCAAACCATTTATTCTAAAACTGTTTCTGAACATTAATTTGGCCATTGATTCTGAACCCATCTTAGAACCTCAATTGGTCATTGATTCCGAAACCATTTCAGAACCTTAATCTTACCTGACTCAATCTGATTGCCGAAACTTGCAAACACATTTGCAATATGTCTCTCCCATTCAAACGTCATTCTAAATTGCTTATGGTGTGTAACATCCCTAGGTTCATCACTAAGCTAGCAGTATGAAACCAAGAGAACTGATTGTCTCGATCAATCTCTAAGTCTTACAAACCATGAGTGAGCAATATGTCATGGCTACCCAGACAGTGTGAATGTTTTAAGAACATAATGAACTTGTCAACTTTGGCTATCATGTAATTCAATCCTTCTATCTTACTTTGTTCTAATCGAACAAAGGCCATGGAATTGTTTGTCAAGCCACTAATTTTTTTTTCAAGCCACCAATTCAATCATAATAAATCTAATTGACATGTATTTCAACGAGACATAAGCTATTCATTCTCGGTTACAACCCCGGCTGAGGATTTCAATACAATGTCATAATTAGATCGCATAGGAACATCATTATTGTATCTTGTATATAATAAGAAGACAGATTCCGTATTGCACACACATATGCCTTCGTATATGAACAAACTATGATCATCAAGTAAAGAAATGGTTCGACGAAGCGTCAATATGCACACTTGTGAATCACAGCCATCCAAAATACAAGTCAACACCGTCCCTTATGTATAAGAATTTTACACAAGATTAAAGCCTGAGCGATTTGTCATTGACCCAGTTAAATGCTTCCATGTTGCTAATCATTCTGAGAATGTCAAGTTTAGTGAACTTGTCCGATACAAGCACTTGTGTTTTAGCTCGGGTATCACAATACCCAATGATTTGTGACTTATCATTCCTTTAGGTATCCAATACTCAATGATGAAGCTTGAGAACACACCGATCTCAATAGGATTATCAATATCCTCTCAATGACGACCGAGAACTGTTTAAAGACTCATTCTAACTTTGAATCTATCACACATATTCTTAACACCTTTATGAATAGATTGATCCGTAACTAATCTTATAGACTCATTCATATAAATGGGACAATGAATGAATATGTCTTTGCCATTAAATAAATAATACAACTGAAATCCCTAACATGTAATGATTACATGGTTGCTTTACGGCATATAGCAAACAATCTCCCACTTGCACTAAAGCCAACCTTTCTCGTGCCTCAAACCCATCTTGCCAAGGTGTCTTTCAAAAGAAGATTTAGACAACACTTTAGTGAAGGGATCCACCACATTTTCTGCAGATGCTATTTTCCGCAAGGTGACATCACCTCTCCTAGCAATCTCTCTATTAAAATGGAAGCGCCTCTCAATGTGCTTGAATCTCTGGTGAGACCTTGGTTCCTTAGCCTAAGCTATTGCCCCATTATTGTCACAAAATAATGTAATTGGCTATTCAATGGAAGGAACCATTCCAAGTTCTGAAACGAATTTCTTTATTAAAGCCGCTTCCTTTACTGCTTCGGAAGTAGCTAAATACTTTGCCTCAATGGTAGAATCAGTAGTTATGCTCTATTTGGAACTTTTCCAACTAATTGCACCACCATTGAGCATAAAGACAAACCCAAAAGTAGACTTATAATCATTAGGATCTAATTGAAAATCAAAATCAGTATATGCTTCAATTTTAAACTCTCCTTCTCCATATATCAAGAATAGATCCTTAGTTCTTCATATGTACTTAAGGATAGTCTTGACTGCTATACAGTGCTCTTCGCTTGGTTAGACTGATATTTGCTAGTAATGCTTACAGCATGTGCAATATCAAGTCTCATACATAGCATAAAATACATTATTCTACCAATAGCAAACACATAAGGTATATTTGCAATCTGCTCTCTTTCTTCTGGACTGTTGGGACACATATCCTTGGAAAGACGGATTCCATGTGTCACGCCCCGAACCCCAACGGGCTCACAACACCCTTTCAATGGTCGTATTGAACGCGACGTCCCAGGACGTGTCGCCGACCCGAACGAAACACTCGAAGACAAATACAAGCGGAAGCGAAAATCAAACAACCCAGACAATTTATAATGACAACAGGGCAGCACTTGCACAAAACAATAAACTTATATCATTAGCTTGAGTCCATAAAATTCATACAATAGGCTTCTAGACTTAGCATCCACCTTCATCATCAAAAAGGGATAGGTGGTAGGGTAAACTAGATAGATGCACAAAAAGGGCTCTACCAAAAAGGGGTTCTAAGCCCGGCACCTAGACACTCCTACGGGGCCCAATCCGAATCAGACCCTGAAGACTCGGACTCCGTATCCGAGTTGATCTCGATTGGCTGATCCTCATTAACCGGCTCTTCCTCGGGCTAGAATTCCATAGGCTCCTCCTTGGGCTCAAACTCTTCTTCGGGTTCGGGCTCCTCAAACTTCTCTTCGAGCTCGGGATCTGCAGGGGCCACAGGTTCTGGTACGGGTTCCGGTTCAGGACTAGGTTTTACCGGGGGATCTCTGGAATTCAGGACCTCACCACCAGGAGCAATAACAGCTGAGGGATCCCACTCGCCTATACCATTAAACGGAACATCAAAATGCCGAAGCGGTCCGTAGACTCTGTATAAATCCCGATATCAATATGCCCGGTATATGTCGGACTGCAACTCCGGTCTACCCATATCTACCCACACCACTGTGGTATGCTTAACATAGGTCTCCCCGGCTTCTACAGGGTACTCCACCGCCGAGTACTTAGTATGCCTCGGGATCCCAAAACATTCAGGCAGATCACTCGTGGTCGGGGTCGGGGGTCTGAAATGGTTTATAAATCAACTATGAGAATAAATCTCAATAAGTAGACAACCTAAGCCCCACCTAGGCCAATGCGTACCCAGACGAGTCTAACATACGAACTAGCAGCCAACACAATCGAATCCACACAACCATACTTACCTCGCCTCAACTCAAGTGCCAACTCTGCATGTTAGTTAAATCATCATAATTGCAACAATAATTCAAGAACGTAACATAAACACTCAAGCGCCATATACACGCACATTCACCCAATTCAACCAAGCACGTTTCGCATGCGTGTCCAGCCACTTTCCATGACCCGTGTCAACATGCCTCAGGTCTAGCCCTCCGATCAATCCAAGCTTAGTCCCGCGCAACCACGCCTCAGGACATTTCTCTTGACCCGCATAACCACGCCTCAGGTCATTTCTTGCCTTTCTAGCCACACCCGCGTAACCACGCTTCAGGTTGGCAGCCCTCCAATCAATCGGGGCTTAGTCCCGCATAACCACGCCTCAGGACATTTCTCTCGACCCGCGTAACCACGCCTCAGGTCATTTCTTGCGTTTCTAGCCACACTTGCGTAACCACGCCTCAGGTTGGCAGCCCTCCGATCAATCCGGGCTTAGTTCCGCGTAACCACGCCTCAGGACATTCTTCATGCACATACACCACAACACAATTCGCCACTCTAACACGTCGTACTAATCAAATTCAAATCAAGAACTCACCACACTAGCCCACCAATCCGACATTCAAGTTGGCACATTCAAACATCAATTTCACCCACAAATGCCACGACAATCCGGTCATTGAACCCACATAATTCAGCCACTAATTAAGCCACGCAATCACCACAATTTAATCTACCAATTAATCACATTCACATATCAATCCTATTCCAAGCTTAGCCACTAAATTGATACTAATTAACCCCTAAACAAGTCTAATAATACCCAAAGTACTAGGTAGGGTTTAGGAAGTCACTTACCTAAGTTTGGCCCGGGAAAAACCGGCAAGGGGCCCAAAATGGCCTGGGGGAATAGTAGCGGCTTGGCGCGGGCGAGGGCGTGACGGGCACGGTGGCCAGCAACGTGCTTAGCCATGGTCGGGGCGCTCGGCACGGCGCTCGGCCACGGCTGGGCACTTGGCCCGGTGAGCTGGGCAACTCGGCCATGGCCTGGGCAGTGGCCTGGGCTGTCAGGCCACGGTTGGGGCAGCGGCTGGGCACGCGGCAACGGGCTTGGCCACGGCCGGGCGAGCGGCTGGGCTACTCGGCCGGCGAGCTGGGGCTGGCGGCCGAACGGCAACGGCGACAGCAGAGACAACGGCGGCGGCGACGACCTCGGCCAAGGCACGAGCAATCCGGCCAAGGCAGCGGCGATTGGCGGTCGGGACAGAGGTTAGCGACTGGGAGCAGGAGGTGGCGATGACGAGCTGGACGAGCGAGCGGTAGGCGAGCTGGTCCCGGCGAGCGGCGGTCGCGAGGTGACGGCGTGCGACTGGTAGGTGGCGACGAGCTCGGCCGGAACAGGGGACGGCTACGTCGTCGTCGGAGCAACAGAGGCGACGGCGGCGATCGGGGCGGCACGGCGGCGTTGTAGGCGGTGGGGCAAGGCCAGATGAGCTGGCTAGCGGCTCGGCGGAGCCGGGCCGCGGCGAACGCGGCGGCGAGCTGCTGCTCGTGCGCGAAGGGGAAGTAGGGAGGGAGAAGAAGGGCAGTCAAGTGAGGGGAGGCGGCTGGACGGACGGCACAGCGGCTGGGCAAGCGGGCGGGGACAGGCAGACGGTTGGCGACGGTCGGCGATGAGCAGCAAGAGAGGGAGCAGAAGTAGGCTGGGGAAGAAAGAAGAAGAAGAAAAGAAGAAAGGAGAAAGGAAGAAGAGAAAAGTAGTAGGAGAGAGAGAGAGGAGGGTCGTGCATGGGAAGATGGAGGGAGTGGATGTGAGCGTGAGAGGGGGAGGGGACGCGGCAGAGGAGAGAGGAGAGAGAGGGAGAGAGAGAGAGAGAGAGAGAGACAAAAGTCAAACATTACACTCGAGTGCAATCCGACGGTCCTCGTTCAAACCCGGAATCGATCCAACGGCCCATGAAAAACCTTAATTATAAATTAGGAAAAAGGGCCAAAACACTAACTAAAACACACTACAATGGAGGTTTACTAGTCCAAATCCGCACCCGATTCAAATTTCACTTTTCACTAATCCCGGGCAATGTCGACACTGGCCATGATAATATTGATACCGTCCAATTAAATTCGTCACGAAACTTCGAGAAATTCGACACCAAAGTTCGGGCTCTAAATAACGGTCAAATTCGATCGAGTGCGATTCTAGCGAAATCTCTAATTTAAAAATAACCCAAGAGTGATCAGTTCCGGGCGAGATTTAACTATAAGCGCATTGACAAAATATATGTTTTATAAATTCCAAAAATGAGTCGAAATTCGGAATGTCACAACTCTTCCTCCCTTACAAAAATTTCGTCCTCGAAATTTACAACCCAACCCAATTATTCGAACAAATGGGGGTATTGGTGTCGCATCAGCTCTTCGCTTTTCCATGTCGCACCTTCGGTTCCATGATGCTCCTAAATTACTTTGACCATCGAAATTGTCTTGTTCCGCAACACTCGTTTCATTCTGTCCTCGATCGTTACTGGCCTTTCCACGTACGACACTCTATCGTCCACGTCTATTTCTTCATAATTCAGCACGTGGGTTGGATCCGGTTCGTATTTCCTTAACATAGACACGTGGAACATATTGTGAACTTGGGACAAATTCGGCAGTAGTGCGAGACAATAGGCCTAGGTGCCAATCCTCTCTAAGACCTCGAATGGACCCACGTACCTCGGGCTCAACTTCCTTTTCTTGCCAAATCGTGACAATCCTCTCATAGGCGATACTTTGAGGAAAACGTGGTCCCCCACTTGAAATTCCAAAGGCCTACGTCTCCGGTCTGCATAATTCTTTTGGTGGCTCTAAGCGGTCTTAAGCCTGTCCCGAATCACTTTGACTGTTTCGATTGACTGCTGAACCAACTCACTGTTCCTCCCAACTACCTTTAAAATCCAATACACATTCTCGCAGCATATCTTCCAAAGTTTGAATTATCCTTTCAAATTGGCCATCTGTTTAGGGGTGATAGGCTGTGCTAAACTGGAACTTCGTTCCTAATGCCGTATGAAGACTTTTCCAAAAAGCGGCAGTAAACTTAGGATCACGGTCTGAGGTAATTGTCACTGGCACTAAGTGAAGACGGACTATTTATCGCACGTATATCTCGGCATACCTTTCCAAAGCGAAGTCCTTTCGCACCGGCAGAAAATGTGCTGACTTTGTCAATCAGCCGACTACCACCCAAATTGAATCATGACCCCTCTGACTCCTCGGTAATCCCATCACAAAGTCCATTGTGATGTATTCCCACTTCCATTCAGGGATGTCCAATGGCTGCAATATTCCACCCAGCTTGTAATGTTGCGCCTTCACTTGTTGACATATTAAATACTTGGCCACGTGCTTGGCCACATCCACTTTCATGCCATTCCACCAATAATGCTGTCGCAAGTTCTGATACATCTTCGTACTACCTGGGTAACTACTGTAATTGCTATGGTGAGCTTCTGACAAAATTTCTTCCTTCAGTTCTGCATCACCGGGTACACATAACCGTCCACGGAACTTCAGAATCCCATCCTCGGATACCTGAAACTCCAATTTCCTTTTTGGGACATCCATACCCAGAATCTTCTGACTCTTCGGGTCCGTCGATTGTAAAGCCTTAATCTTAGTCTGGATTTCCGGTTCAATCCTCAATGCTGCAAGCAGACTTGAGACATGACTCACTTCAAACTTAAACTCCGAATCCCGAACTCCCTCCAACAGAGTCCATTCCTTGACCATTCTATGCGCGACGCTCGATTTCCGGCTCAGTGCGTCTGCTACTTTATTAGCTTTTTCGGGATGGTACATAATCTCGCAGTCATAGTCCTTAAGGAGTTCTATCCAATGACGCTGTCTCATGTTCAATTCCTTTTGGGAGAACAAGTACCTTAAACTTTGATGGTCCGTATAAATCTGAAATTTCTCCCCACACAAGTAGTGTCTCCAAATCTTAAGAGCGAAGATAATCGCAGCCAATTCCAAGTTCTGTGTCGGGTAGTTCAGCTCATGTGGTCTCAATTGTCGCGATGTGTATGCCACCACTCTTCCATGTTGCATTAGCATGCATCCCAATCCCCTTAGTGACGCGTCACTGTAGATCTCATAACCTCCTGGACCTGACAGGATTGTCAACACTGGCGCGGTCGTCAATCTCTGCTTTAACTCTTGGAAACTCCTTTCACACTTATCCGTCTATTCAAACCTCGTCTTCTTCTTTAGTAACTGCGTCAACAGTGTCGCTAATGCTGAAAACCTCTCCACGAAGTGTCTGTAATAACCTGCCAGACCCAAGAAGCTCCGAACCTCGATTACTGTTGTCGGCGTTGGCCAATTCGTAATTGCCTCAATCTTTGTCGAGTCCACTGAAATTCCATTCCCAGAATCTTTGTCGGGTCCAAGAAATGCTACCCGATTTAACCAGAACTCACACGTAGTAAACTTGGCATAGAGTGCATGTTCTCTTAAAGTCCGTAGAACCATCCGTAGATGTTGCTCGTGTTCCTCGAGGCTCCTTGAATACACCAAGATGTCGTCGATGAATACAATAATGACTGATCTAAGAATTCCCTAAACACCCGATTCATCAAATCCATGAAAGTAGCTGGGGCGTTAGTCAATCCAAATGGCATCACTGTAAAGTCATAGTGCCCATATCTCGTCTTAAATGCCGTCTTCGACACATCCTCCTTTTTAATCCTCAATTGATGATAGCCAGTCCTTAAGTCGATCCTTGAAAATATCGACGCCCCTTGCAACTGATCAAACAGGTCATCTATCCATGGCAATGGGTACTTATTCTTAATGGTCGCTTGATTCAACTGTATGTAGTCAATGCACAACTTTAACGATTTGTCCTTCTTCCTCACGAATAAAACTAGCGCTCCCCATGGAGACGCACTCGGGCGAATAAATCCCTTATCCAACGACTCCTGCATTTAAACCTTTAATTCTTTTAATTCTGACAACGGCATCCTATAGGCTGCTCTCGAAATCGGTTCCGTTTCTAGGGCCAACTCAACCATGAACTCCACTTCTCTATCAGGTGGCAATCTCGGCAATTCCTGAGGAAAGACATCGGGGAAATCGCGCACCATAGCTATGTCTTTTAGTCTCGGCTCCTTAACCAACAAGTTAACCACAAGATAGTTATCTTTCTACACCTCAATGACAAAGCTCAATCCATCCAATTTCAATCTAATGGTCTCCCAAAAACAATCGCCCTAGTTCTTTACAGAATCCGAAATTTCCAAACGATAACTCATTCATCCAAATCTTGCCCAAAGAACATCATCAGTAATTCCGAAATCCATAAACTTATTGCGCCTATCCACTATAAACAATTATACGTCGTACATGATCATTCAAGTTATAACTTCAAAATCATCTCCTATTACACCCAACATCATCACATTACACATCCAGACTTTCAAGACAAATCCTCTGCTTTCCTCCCAGCCACAGCGTACACCTTTCCTTGTGCCTATGGTCGTTCCATGTTATTTTGCGGGGTAACTCCCGCTTGATGTCCTACTTGCGGTTGCTATTGCTGTATTAATGGCCTAGCTCGTCTGTTCGGGCAGTTTCTCACTTGGTGACCATGTCAGCCACATACAAAACACGCTTCAAGTCCATCTGGGCAAGGGCCATTCCTGTGCCTTTTTCCACAAGACCGACATGCGGCATTGGAGTAGTGGTTCAACTTTCCAAAGTTCTTTCTTACCGGAGGGACAAGTCTCATATTCTCTATCATAGACTTCTTTCCAAAGTTCCTATTGTCCGTAGCCGGCGTGTACCGCGATCCAGAAGCGGCAGCCCCTTTCATTCATATCCCTTTCAACCAGTTAAGTCCTCTCATACAGCTCATTGTAATCCCTTAAGTTCAGTAGTGTCAATTGACCATAGAGATTCGGCTTCAGTCCATCTCAGAACTTCCTCGCCCTGTCCACTAGGTCCTTTACCATTCTTGGGGCAAATTTGGACAGCCTTGCAAACTCGGCTTCGTACTAATCCACCCGAAGTCTCATGAATTCAGCCAACATGGTTCGTGCACTTACCTCAGGCCCTGACGCACCTGCACCTCACACGTCATTGCATAACATCACTCAGCAATCACAATCAAACAGTCTGGGGTACGCATGGCACACGAGTCTCCCTAATTGGCTACCCCAATGTCATCGCTCCTTATCACTCCAGGCTTCGACTAACTTGGATCAAGCTGACCTTGCTCTGATACCAAATCAACAGTGATGTCACGCCCCGAACCCCAACAGGCTCGTGACACCCTTTCAACGGTCGTATTGAACGCGACGTCCTATGACATGTCGCCGACCTGAACGAAACACTCGAAGACAAACGCAAGCGGAAGCAAAAATAAACAACCCAGACAATTTATAATGACAACAGGGCAACACTTGCACAAAATAATAAACTCATATCATTAGCTTGAGTCCATAAAATTCATACAATAGGCTTCTAGAGTGAGCATCTACCTTCATCATCAAAAAGGGATAGGTGGTAGGGTAGACTAGCTAGCTGCACAAAAAGGGCTCTACCAAAAGGGGGTTCTAAGCCCGGAACCCAGATACTCCTACGGGGCCCAATCCGAATCAGACCCTGAAGACTCGGACTCCGTATCCGAGTTGATCTCGATCGGCTGATCCTCATTACCCGGCTCTTCCTCGGACTCGGACTCCATAGGCTCCTCCTCGGGCTCAAGCTCTTCTTCGAGTTCGGGCTCCTCAAACTCCTCTTCAAGCTCGGCCCGACCTGATTTTTTAAATAATTAATTTTTTTATTAATTTTTTGAATTTTTTTAAAATAATAATAATAAACTCTAATTAATGAAATTACTATTAATATGCCTAATGTCTAGTTGAGATGCAATTAAATAACAATTTTGTTTTAGGAATTAAGGACATTAACCCCTAAAAAATTTTATAATTAGTTTTGGGCAAAAAATTAAAAATAGGTGTCAACATAATTGGACTTATTCTAAAGTGACTTCATTTTGGTATTTTTCATGGAAATTCGGAATTAAAAATTACTTTAAATAAACTATCAGGATTAGGATATTATCAAAATTAAGCAAGGAAATAAATTACTCTAAATCCTAATTTAAATTGAAAATTATCCCATCTTTCTAGAAAATATTCAAAAGTGAATCTAAGTTATTCTATCATGTTTGAAGAAAACTGTCTAGATACACTCTAAGCATGCAACATTATCGCTAAAAATCAATTCAAAGTATTCCTAATCTTTTTGAAATTTTCTTTTAGAGAAACAAATCAAACAAGTGATAAATACCACTATTAAATCAATCTACACAATCCGCGAGATTTACCTTATCTTTTTAAATTTAGAAATGATATAAACCAGGGATCATATCCAAGTAATTATGGATACTGATGGAAGGTTTCTCGTTTAAATTTGGAAACGGGATAAAATCATCTATCGTATTTAAATAGTTATGGAAAGAATGAAAGATTATCTGTGCTGCCGAGTATCATATCTCACAGTTAGAGATCAGATTGTCATCCAAGCACATTGTTAAGAGAATGGGTTGATATTCAAAATCTTGCGGATATCATGCATTCATCCAAAGATATCCGAAATTCTCTAGGAGATAACAATATCAAACAAATTAGGCAGTAAAATATTTGAATTAATGTCATATGAAATTCTAACCTAATTTGCGAATAATTTCCAAATTTGAACTTGACACCGCACCATGATTGCATATTACAGGCATTGACCGGCGGTAAATCACCAATGTGGTGATTGTTGGGAAAATCTCCTATGTTGTTTTGAAGATAACAAAGACAATCAAAGGCTACTAGTGTGTGTATTGATTGAGTATTACTAGGTGATAAATGCATAAGCTGAAATGTAGATATTATCATAAATAGCACCAGAACATTTTGATATGAGAAGTGCTCTGCCACTATCTAGATGTTTGCAGATATCTAAGGTGAACAAGATATTGGGTAATTGAAGATGTCTATAAGCTGGAAGGATCATCAGATATGGTGAACGTCTAGAAGGATCTTGATCGAGGGTGAACAACCTGAGAAAAATGGGGATGTTCTATCACGCCCTAGTCCTATTTCCCCAAGGCTTGAGCGTGCGACTTCCCTTCATTGGTCATTGAATTGCGACGTCCGAGGAGGTGTCGCCGACCCATTCTTTGTATCTTTTGATTAATATATACGGAAGAAAATCCTATATCTCCCAACCAACAACATAAAAGGGATAGCATGGAAAATACTTACACAAAAGCACACTTCATATATATGCATCATCGACCCACATTGGAAGTTAGACTAATTACACGCCCGTTACTCGGGTCCTTTCCGATTACATAAAAAAAAACGAGAGGGGGTCAGGGTTAACTTAGCTCCTCTACCTACAAGGGCTATCTCCACACACAAAAAATGGCTTCCTCCACACTAGGGCATGCTATGGCTTGGGTTCGGGGTCGTAGTTTGGATCCGACTCCGGGTCACTGACGGAACCGTCGGGGATGTCCGTCACCATAGGGTCCCACGGGATCGCGCCCAGCACACCCGGTGGTCCGTCAAAGCCCCGGAGAGCTCCGAATAGGTTCCCTCCGAACCATACGTACCATGCCCTGAAACGGTGAGGAACCAAGTTGCTAAGTACCTCATCGACCCAAACGGTCGTCGTGTACTCCTCGTACATGGTGTCGGTCCCTGGCGCTACAAACTCTATGACCCCTACGTCCTGGTCCACGGGGACAATAAAACACACGATCCGAGTATCAATTCTAGGGCCTGAAAAGGGTTAAACAAAAACACATGAGTAAACTCAATAAGTAAGACCTCTAAACCTTGTATAAAGGATACCTCGCCTCGGAAACATGACAAACATAGGACTTAACAAGTCGATGGCAAATCAATAGCAAAGCCTTTGCTTTTCCTTATCTATATACATGAAAGGTAACATCACCCTCTCGGCATGCCAAAAACACAATCAAATAATCACACGTGAATTCCTACCTCCTGTCAGCACGTAAAATTTACACGAATAATCACACGTGAAACCTCGCTTCTAATTGGCATGCAGCAAATACACATAGTAATCAAGAACACTTCATATCACATATTCATGCACAATGCATCCATACGTGTTTCGATTATTACGACCACTCACGGCCACGACCGACACTCGTGTTGGTGGTCTTCCGGCGTAACCGGGCATCATCCCGCCTCATCGGGCACGGCAACGTCTCGACCTCACTCAAAGACGACATTCATTTAAGAGCATCATTTCGAAATCCATTCGCGAACGGCTTTGGAAATTCCATTGAGCGTCATCCCCCGCAATCATACGGGTACAGAACCATTTATATGCTCACGCAAGCACATCAAGCATTCAAGCCAATTATTATCTTTCACTTTAACCAATGCAAGAGTGTTTAGTGCTAACACGGTTAGAACATTTGAAATCCCGCACACATAAAAATGCACGAAAATAATCACACGTGAACAACCGCAATCCTTCGACATGCGAAATTGCACATATTTCACTTACAAATCTTCCTTGTAAAGATGGACACACGCAAGATGACTTAAAATGTCGGTTTCTCATAATCCGGCAATCACATGGCAAGATTATTCCTTCCTTCCAATCAACTAGGCACGCGATCGACATACGAATTCCCGAACCTCATACCTCAAGCATAACATGAGCAAACCATACAAGATTTCTATACGAGCTTCCTCTTCCTAGAACAAGCAATAATCAACCCTAACAATCACGGAACTTAAACTCGAAACTTAATCCAACTATGTAGAATCAAGTCCTATCCAAGGTATAGATAATCTACCTACGACACAAGCAATATCATGGTAGAACAAGCTCAAATAAGACTCAACCTAGGTCTGAAACGCGTGGAATAACACCCTGTCCAAGGATTAGCACAACTACTTACTAAACCGGTCGAACTAAGGATGACGACAAACGAACGAACAACGACGGTGAAGAGGCACAGTCGGCGTGAGGATGGCACGGACAGCATCATGGTGGCGTGGTGGTGAGGTGGCGCGGTGGCGATGGACAGCGGACGGTGGATGGCAGCAGTGAGGCGGTGGTGGTGGTCGAATAGAGAGGAAGAGAGGGAGAAAAAGAGAGAGAGAGAGGGTTCGGTGGAAGAGGGGCCGAACGAGGGAGAGAGAGAAAGTGAGAGTGAGTGAAATGAGAAGGGTTATCTTCCTAGGTGCTCTTACAAGAAGGCCAATAATGCAATTGCATTTATGAACTCTACTATCTACCCTAGCCTAGGTCTTCCTTAATTTGCTCCCATCCAAGCAAATACAAGGCCAAGAGGCCATCTTGAATTCTTCTCCATCAAGTCTCACACTAGGCTTACATGGCTACCAATATAGGCACATGCATTTAGTTGAGAACCAAACAAGGAAACCAAACAAGAAGCTAACTAGGTTGTTCTCCTCCTCTTCTCTTCTTAAGTGGCGCCCACTCCTCCTCAAAGCAAGACCAACTTTGGTCTCTTCCCAATCAAAGCTTCTAGAACGTGCATTAAATGCTAAACTATAGGTTACTATTCACGCAACACTATTCACGTACATGGCACATTAGTGTGCAATCTTCCAAAAATCACCAAAAAGTCAAATGTGGGCAAGATGGGCTTCCAATGCTAGGCTCGTGTCTACTTGTCTGAAGTTTAACGGTCCAATGATGCTTAATTAAGTGTCGTCCGAAAAGGTTATATCTTAATTATCCATAAACCGATACTCGTAACTGGACCGAGTTCTATGGTCAAATTCACTTGGAAGAGCCTCTGACGTTGCCCGTACAAATAGGAGACTTTCAGGGATTAAGGGTGACCCGTGGTTGTTCCGAAATCGATCCATGTTTAAGCTTGTTCGACTCATGGTCTATCCCTACTATCAGTGTTTCGATACTTTAGACCATTTCCCGCATCTCAGACATGGGTCGGATTGAGGATGTCGCATGTTCGTGATGGCTTAGAGGTACAAAGATCAGGTGAACAGTTGGATGGACCCGATGATGGTGAACAAGCCTAGAATGAGGATGTTTGGTAAAGTTTGGAAGGACCATAAAGATGAACAGTTTGGTAGAGTCAAAATTGCCAATATGCTTGGAAGGACCAGAAAGATCAGCATTGATATCGGGTGAGAGAAGCTGCCTTATATAGATGAGGTAGAAGATTGTGATGAACTTTAAGGACTATGTGATATCCATGGTGTGATCCATTGGGAGAAGATCACAAGATGTCCTAGTACGTTATTCTGTAAACAGTACCAACGAAACTAAATATCAGTTGATTGATGATGTTTGTATCAATATTGAGACCTCATATCATTGGTGATATTTGAATAATGAACATATGAGGATGTTCGAGATTATAGTCGTTGAAGGGTGGAAATGTGCAACGGGAATATCAAAAAGTCTATCGAGGAACAAGAGCAGGCGTCTGTCAGAAATGTCAGAGCAGTCAGTATTGAGACAATAGCTGCAGGACCTATTTCAGGTTAGCCTGCAAATGTTTAGGATAAATGGCTATATGGGCAGCTCCATCTTTTCACAGCAGCACCAACGGATCTCTAACGGCCAGTTGGTCTTCTCAAGCATTTCCAACGCGAAGATTGAAAATGTCTATTTAAGAGAAAACCTTCTAGGCCAAAATGTTAGAGA